ATATGACTATTTTGTCAATGGAGTATATCTCTGATTACACCATTTGAGAAAGTCTTGAGATTTTAAGTTAAAGGCATACTAACTTACTGTTGAAGCTGATGAATTTCTCTACCTTATTGTTAAAGTATGTTGTTAAAGAGAAATCATTTGGAGGATTAACAATAAAAATAACATGTTTATCAGATTACATATTGATATGTTATTTTCTTGCTACACCACCACATCTTGATCCATTTCAATAGGATTATTATTTTTGTAATCATGGATTGGTCTTATGTCAATAAATGATGTAAAGACCGTCATGGTTTAAAAATAGTAGTTTTATTGTACCAGATTGTGTTTGAAATGTTGTCTCAGGACCATATTTTTTATTGTGGTCACATTAAATTTTTTGTTTGATTAGTTCGAGAGTCATTTTTCAAACAAATTATTTTATTTTATTTTTTTAAATGACTACAATTAATGTTGTCCAAGTGGGAGAATGTCGAAATTTTTTCTATATTGTACTTCTATTAATTAATAATTAATTTTTAGTTTGTGAAAAATCAACTAAATTTCTGGTCCAATGAGATGAGTCCAATTAAGTGATTTATTTTGATGAGCTTATTTACATCTTTTTAATTGATGTGGTTGAAACGATTAAGTGTAGGTCTTAATCTAATTGTGACCTGTAATGGAAGAGCCCATTAGATTCATTATAAATAACAGGCTAGTAACTCTCTCTACTTTATAACCCTAATTTGACTTGTCCCATTGAAAGTCGCCTATTGCTTTGAAGAATGAGAGGAATATATTGTCCTTTAGCAAAAAAAAATCTAAAGATCGAGTATCATGACTCATAAATGTATGTTCTAAACCTTGCAATTTAGGTGTTTTAAATTAAATGTACAAATTATTAAAATTTCTTATAGTTGGATGATGTTAGAATTAAGTTTGAATGGAAGAAGATGAAGTTTGAACTGCATTTTAGAATTTTGGCACTGATCAACCTGTTGAAGAGTAGTTGAACCGGTTGATCAGGGTTCTGGTTAGACTTCAGCAGGTTGAAGCATGTGATTAAACTGATTGAACGTTGAACCAGTTGAACAAATCCCATTACTTTGGGGTTAAACCTGACAAACAGGTTAAACTTGTTGGAATTCACCCGGTTCATCAGAGCCAATATTGGCAATTTGGCTATAGTGTTCTAGGCTTCCATCCAACTTTGCTAAAACCTTCNAGTTTAAAAATAGTAGTTTTATTGTACCAGATTGTGTTTGAAATGTTGTCTCAGGACCATATTTTTTATTGTGGTCACATTAAATTTTTTGTTTGATTAGTTCGAGAGTCATTTTTCAAACAAATTATTTTATTTTATTTTTTTAAATGACTACAATTAATGTTGTCCAAGTGGGAGAATGTCGAAATTTTTTCTATATTGTACTTCTATTAATTAATAATTAATTTTTAGTTTGTGAAAAATCAACTAAATTTCTGGTCCAATGAGATGAGTCCAATTAAGTGATTTATTTTGATGAGCTTATTTACATCTTTTTAATTGATGTGGTTGAAACGATTAAGTGTAGGTCTTAATCTAATTGTGACCTGTAATGGAAGAGCCCATTAGATTCATTATAAATAACAGGCTAGTAACTCTCTCTACTTTATAACCCTAATTTGACTTGTCCCATTGAAAGTCGCCTATTGCTTTGAAGAATGAGAGGAATATATTGTCCTTTAGCAAAAAAAAATCTAAAGATCGAGTATCATGACTCATAAATGTATGTTCTAAACCTTGCAATTTAGGTGTTTTAAATTAAATGTACAAATTATTAAAATTTCTTATAGTTGGATGATGTTAGAATTAAGTTTGAATGGAAGAAGATGAAGTTCGAACTGCATTTTAGAATTTTGGCACTGATCAACCTGTTGAAGAGTAGTTGAACCGGTTGATCAGGGTTCTGGTTAGACTTCAGCAGGTTGAAGCATGTGATTAAACTGATTGAACGTTGAACCAGTTGAACAAATCCCATTACTTTGGGGTTAAACCTGACAAACAGGTTAAACTTGTTGGAATTCACCCGGTTCATCAGAGCCAATATTGGCAATTTGGCTATAGTGTTCTAGGCTTCCATCCAACTTTGCTAAAACCTTCTTGAGGCACTCAATGGACCTTAAATGAGTTCTTTGTGGGTTTAATGGCTAAAATTATATGAATTGAAGATTAATCTAGAATTAAAGAATGTGAAAGGAAGTAATCTAAAAACAATGTTGTGGGTTATTTAAAATACACCATTGGGAAGAATGTGGAAATGCATTAACATAAGCATGAGTTTGCATTCATACAAGCAAGATTAATGTTAAATTTAAGTGCTAGGACACTTAGTTGTGGCCTACTATGGTATGTTATAGGAATTGAGACGTCAACATCTAAACCGAAGGCTTCGTCTGAAAATTAAACTGTGGTATTCTGGACTTGAGGTGAGTGTGCTTTTTCTTATGATTAATAATGGTCAGGATATGATATTGTTAAGTGAGTATGATGCTAAGGAGCCTCAGTGGTGATTTTGTGTTAGAATGGCAGATAAATAGCCTTAGTGGCGTGATTATGCCGTAGTGGCTATATTGTGTCATAATGGCAGCTAAGTAGCTTTATTGGTAATATTGTGTCATAATGATTGATAAGTAGCCTTAGTGGTGTGATTGTTGGCGGATATATGACATAAATGGCGAATAAGTAGCCTTAGTAGCAAATATATATCATGTTCAGAGCTATTCTTATATGATTGTTTGTAATGGTTATCTGATGTTACTTAAGGTATGTTTTTGGTTATTATCGATTTAATGAAATTGTACCTTCATTGAGCGTATTGTCCTCACCGTCCCGCAGTTTATGATTTCAAGAAAACGGAAGGAGAGAAAAGTCCATTGCTTATAAGTCTTGAGGGTAGAGAATTTGAAGGGTCCGTCATGTTGTAATATTTTGTACATATTTAGAAGTGTAAATTTGTACAAGGGTTGAATAGAAGTTTTTGTTTTAGTGTATAAAATTAACCTTCTACGTAAGGATTATGTATGTTTGTGAATATATATATATATTTGGTTGATATTTATGCTATGGGTTATTGAACATTGTCCACAAGTTATTAGGTTATAGATTTGTTTATGAAGTCCACCCACTGGGAATGGACAATAAGTTCTATTTTCCGGGTTGGGGTGTGACAGAGAGTGCCAATGGTTTATGCAGAGCATGATTAGCCAGTTTGATTTGCAAAAAAAAAATTGACGTATTTATTTGATGGATTAATTAATTTTGATGAAATTCGATGATTCAGGGTGTGATTTGTATTCGAAGTAGTTGGAGGGGGAAGGGGTGTTACGCGGGCTGCAGAGAATTACTTTTAACGGGAATGGTGGGTGTGATTTCTATAAGAAGAANTTAAATTTAAGTGCTAGGACACTTAGTTGTGGCCTACTATGGTATGTTATAGGAATTGAGACGTCAACATCTAAACCGAAGGCTTCGTCTGAAAATTAAACTGTGGTATTCTGGACTTGAGGTGAGTGTGCTTTTTCTTATGATTAATAATGGTCAGGATATGATATTGTTAAGTGAGTATGATGCTAAGGAGCCTCAGTGGTGATTTTGTGTTAGAATGGCAGATAAATAGCCTTAGTGGCGTGATTATGCCGTAGTGGCTATATTGTGTCATAATGGCAGCTAAGTAGCTTTATTGGTAATATTGTGTCATAATGATTGATAAGTAGCCTTAGTGGTGTGATTGTTGGCGGATATATGACATAAATGGCGAATAAGTAGCCTTAGTAGCAAATATATATCATGTTCAGAGCTATTCTTATATGATTGTTTGTAATGGTTATCTGATGTTACTTAAGGTATGTTTTTGGTTATTATCGATTTAATGAAATTGTACCTTCATTGAGCGTATTGTCCTCACCGTCCCGCAGTTTATGATTTCAAGAAAACGGAAGGAGAGAAAAGTCCATTGCTTACAAGTCTTGAGGGTAGAGAATTTGAAGGGTCCGTCATGTTGTAATATTTTGTACATATTTAGAAGTGTAAATTTGTACAAGGGTTGAATAGAAGTTTTTGTTTTAGTGTATAAAATTAACCTTCTATGTAAGGATTATGTATGTTTGTGAATATATATATATTTGGTTGATATTTATGCTATGGGTTATTGAACATCGTCCACAAGTTATTAGGTTATAGATTTGTTTATGAAGTCCACCCACTGGGAATGGACAATAAGTTCTATTTTCCGGGTTGGGGTGTGACAGAGAGTGCCAATGGTTTATGCAGAGCATGATTAGCCAGTTTGATTTGCAAAAAAAAAATTGACGTATTTATTTGATGGATTAATTAATTTTGATGAAATTCGATGATTCAGGGTGTGATTTGTATTCGAAGTAGTTGGAGGGGGAAGGGGTGTTACGCGGGCTGCAGAGAATTACTTTTAACGGGAATGGTGGGTGTGATTTCTATAAGAAGAAAGAAGGCTTGTGTGTGACTTGTATCTGTTTTATTCGACCTATTTGACTCATTTTAAATTGACATTTTTTTTATGGTGTACCTTTGAACAACTATCGCATCAAGAGCTTGTGACCAATCTTATCGTCCAATTCGAACTTCCCTCATTGACTCCGTGATCTAAACACAAATTGAAAAATTTTAGGAATCAAATTGTTTAAAAGCAGAACTCTAGAGTAAATATGAACCAGACTTAAAAAAGAGAAATTGCGATCTTTTACACTAAAAGAAAACGAAATCTTTAGAAAATGATACCATTTAATGTAACATAACTTAAAAAAGAGACAAAACCTGAGATGGAATGTTACCCAACAAGAGAGGCCAAAAATATCAAACAGATGCTCCTCAATCCCATAGAACACCTGCTTGTTCTTCTACTGCACCAATGGAAACCATAACACACTAGATAGAGAGAGAGAGAGAGAGAGAGAGAGAGAGAGAGAGAGAGAGAGAAATGCCATAAACCAACCTTGTGAAATAAGCCATGGGAGCCATGACCAAGGTAGCTATGGCTTGCCTATAGACCACAAACACCATGGGGCTCATTCCTTTCAAAAGAGCAGCTCTAGCAGAGACAGAAACTCCTGCGTAAGTGAACTGTAATCCAATCATGGCCATTGCTGGCTTGTAATCATCTAACCTACCCATAGTTACTCCCCAAGTGTTTACTACCAAAATGCTCAGACCCACACCCACACATATATGACATATATATTCTACTAAAAACCATAATATATATGCAAGGGTACTTTAATATGCAGAGTCAGCAGATTCGTAGATGGTGGTCAGGTTTTGTACTGGATAACTAACAAACACGAGATAGAACTAACTACAAATGAGGACAGCCAGCCGACCAAGATCCAACCATGTATTTGTTAAGCACCTCACAATTAGGGGTTTTAATTTTAGACGCAAAACGTAAACACAACACGAACATAAAAACGAAACACATAATCAACCCAGAATAACAAATGAGTTTGGTTAATGTCAAACATCGAATAACCAATGTTTGAAGGTGATTGGCCCCATTTTAATTGGTATTGTAAGTGAAAAATATTTATTTTTGATTATTTGATCTAGTAAAGTATGAATAAATGTAGAGCAAAATGATTTATGATTTATGATTTTTGACTTAATTTTAATAAAATGCAATGAATAGACCTTATTTATTTACTTATGGGAATTTATGTGTGGTAATTTGATTGAAAGAAAATAGGTCGCTATTCCATGCTTTCTAATTAATTGATATTACGAGAATGATAAGAACTCAATATGATCCGATATATACAAATAGTTAACCACTCGATTGAGACTCCTAATTACAGTTTTCGGCCTTTGCCATGTGAGTTGATTACCACGGTATGTCTTATGTTATAATAATATAACTTGGAACTTAATTTGTTGAGTGTGTTTATTAAAAATATCTATTATAGTCATTAAATTAATAAAAATTCTAAACGAATATTGATATTCATAATCAATTCAATGACATTAAATAATTAAGTTCAAAAATTTAAATCATGTTGTACGTCACCCACACAATTTTTATTTTATGGAGATTGGTTTTTGAAAAATATTGTGGATCTAGGTGAGGTTTGGCACTAACGTCCAATGACAGGAGTTGGATATATCTCTTAGTAGATTAGTGCTGATGATAGGAATGAAGCCATGTCAGGCGTTTCCATTGAATGATTATAATGCATCGTATACCGACGGCTTGTGTGCATAAAAACAAGGATCTTAGCTGTGGACAAAGAATAAAATTAATGTGTAGTGGTGGTGGATAAGTTTTCTGGATTTTCTATTTACAACCATGTATTTACTGTTAATCTATTGCAAAAAATGGAGAATCTATACGTGGCTGACAACACACTCTGTGTTAAGCGTGAATAGAATAACTCTTTTTTTTTTTAAAAAAAAATAAAATTATTTCACCTATTTATATGTGGCCAATAAGACATTATTATTTGTAGAATTGGTAAATAGGTGGATTAGGTTAGTTATGGGTTGATTCAATATGGGTTGGATGCAAAACAAATCTAATCCGTTTTTAACCTGTTTATAAATGGGTTACAATAATTTACATCATAACAAATTATGTTAAACTCATTAACTCATAAAATAATTAAAACTCTTAATCTGAACACATATTAATCTATCAATATTATTAATAACAGTGGTTTAAGTGAAAAACTTTTGATTTCCTTATTTATTCTTCGATAATTATATAATATCTATTTTATTCTTTTTAAAGTGTCTTAAGAGAAAAACACTTTAGATATAATTATATAATATCTATAATATCTATTCTATTTTATCATTTTTTTAAGAATTTTTTATATTTTTACTAGTTGCATTAACTCAACTAATAAATTCATTGTTTGACTTTTCATTATCTTCTTTCCAAATAATATAAATTCGATCCAAATCGAATTTGAACAATGTAATCTGAATTCAATTCAATTGTTCAACGAATTTTATTTTTATAGTGCATATATGAATTCGTCAAAATATATATTCGTTCTGATCCGAATAAGTTGATCAGAGACAATTTCAACATTTAACACATAGATTTCTCCTTAATTTTATAAAATAATCATCAAATTACATCATATGTTTGTAGGTACCTAGTGCATATCTAAATTCGCTAAAAAATTAATATTTGAATAGATCTAATAATCTATATATTACTTTGGAATGTCAATGCTTGTCAAAAAAAATTTAATTGATAATATTATCCTTAAAAGATAAAATAACAATAATAACTTAATATAATAACTTCTTATTGGTCAAAGAAATCAGTAATCATCCAACTATTAATCACTTACTGAAGTTAAACATTACTGTTTTTAAATGCAATTCAATTCAGTTCATATAACCCAAAATACGAGAAAAAACTTGAGTGTAACAATTAGCCCACATCAGCAGTGTCACTTTGTGTAACCGTCCACTAACAGGTGGATAAGTGAGCTCCATAAAATTCAATAATCATCATGTAATTTATAAGCAACTCCATATAAGAAAATTTGTCTAATTTATCTATTTTTCAAACAAAAGATAAAAAAATAGTAGGCATGCAATGCACGCATTCATCAACTAGTACTACTAATAAAAATACCTTAAGGTGAAAATTTTTTGAATCTCTCTTTTTACCCTTATAAAGCATTTCAAAGACCACTCTATCCTTTCAATCTTCAAATTATCTATAAAATTTCTTTTAATTATTTAATTAGTTTTAATAAAAAAATTTGGTTGATTATATTACCTTTAAAAAAATATACATCATTATATTTTCAATAAAGTATTCAAATTTTTTTTAAAAACTCCAATCTAATATTACTCATCTCATATGTAAAGATAACATTATGCCTATATATATGTATTTTATTTTTCATTGAAAAGTTTAACCCTTTTATTTCTGAAATAGATAATAATCGTATATATATGTTTTTAAAATTCATTTATGCTACATCAATATAATTCTTTAGTCATAATAAACTTTCTAAGTTGTACTAAGATTTAATATAAAAATAGATATTATAGTTTATCTTTAAGTAAAACTTAAATTGTTTACACCCTCAAAGATAGAAATTTGTATCGATGTGCATCCCCAACGATAAAAAATCTCAATTTGTCTCCTCAAAGATAGAATTTGTATCAATGTGCACCCCCAAAGATAAAAAATCTTAATTTGTACCCTCAAAGATAAAAATTTGTATCAAATGTGCACCTAAAACTAAATTTGATAAATTATACCTAAATTCCCTTATGTTTGTCAGTTAATCATTTGGACCCCTTCACATTTAGAATATTACTACTATATCTCATGACGTTTGTGCACGTGTAACACGTAACCCTTTTTCGTTTATATCAGTTAATATAACTGTTAAAAAATATGATTTTATCCTAATAAAAAATTATAATTTTATATTACCCTCTATTTTGTGGGTCTGATATACTCTAAAATTCAAAATCAAGCTTTTCATTTGAATGTCCAACAGAATGTAGATATTTATATAATATTTTTTATATCAAATGCAATATATCACTCAATATGCAACCTTTTATTCTATTAAACATTCAAATAGTAAGCTTGATTCTGAACTTTAGAGTATATTGGACCCATAAAATAAAGGGTAATATGAAATTATAATTTTTTATTAGGATAAAATCATATTTTTTAACGGTTATATTAACAGATATCAACCAAAATGGGTTACGTGTTACACGTGCACAAAAATCATGAAATGTAAGAGTAATATTCTAAATGTGAAGGGGTCTAAATGATTAAGTGACAAGTATAAGAGGATTTAGGTATAATTTATCAATTTAATTTTAGATGTACATTGATACAAATTTCTATTTTTGAGGGTGCAAATTGATACAAATTTTTATTTTTGAGGGTGCAAATTGATATTTTTGATATTTGAGAATGCACATTGATATAAATTTATATATTTGAGGGTATAAATTGAGATTTTTGATCTTTGAGAGTACAAATTTAAATTCAAACAATCTTTCATGGTATAATTTACAATTTACCCTTTAATCATTGTCTAGATACGCTTTTTGAGTATCATTTTGTTTTGCTGCCGACTGTCATTGGATGGGATGCATTCTCTCCCCACTTTGGTTTTTCATTCATTAGAGCATTTTTAATAATAACCTTTAATTTAGAGAGTATCTTTAAATATCAAAATAGAGAGTAACGTCCTGTTTAGTTTGCATCTCAAAAATTATGTATAAAAATTATTTTTAGGGAGAGATTTAGAAAACTATTTTTGGTTTTTTTTGTGTTGCAAAATATGTTTGGTTATATGAAACAAAAAATAATTTTACAGAATAGAAAATAAAAACTAGTTTGAATAATAACTCAGAAAACAATGAAAACACAAATATGGTAGTGGTGGTGTGGTGGACGTGGCACAAGTGTGTTGGTGGTGTTGGTGGAAGGGTGGTGGAAGTGTGGTGGTGGTTGTGTGGTGGACGTCGTGGTGGTGGTTATGGAGTTTTTTAAATTCTAAAAATTTTGTTTCTAAAAATACACAAAATAACTTTAACTTGTTATCTAACTCTACCCTGTTTTTGTTTTCAGTTTTCAAAAAACAAAGACAAAAAATAATTAGCCATTTTCTTCTAGAAATTGTTGCCGAAAACAAAAAACAAATTTTCAGATGTAAACCAAACAGGGCGTATATTTTTTATATTCAACTCAAATAGTAGAGAAATAACATTTATGGTAAATAGGATTTAATTAAGACTCTACATGTGTCACTTTTTTAATTCTATAATGATGAAATACAGAGGGAATTTGACTATTAAAAATATAAAAAGCCAAATTTTACTCTTTATTTATGTTCATATGTTGCAAAAAATACTGTACAAAAATAATTTAAAAGTCAATATATTCTTGTTGAATGCATTTAAAATAGTAAATATATTATGTGCAGTATTTGACTATTTAATAATGATCACGAGAAGTATTTGACTATTTAATAATTTTCATGACAATGTGTTCAACTAACACTAAATTAATTTTATTTTACTTATGTTTTTACACAGCCAGTTAAAACAGTAAACTGTTGTAGAATGAAGTTTGCCAAACAAATTTGTATGAGATAAGAAAGGCAAAAATAAAAA